TTAATCCTGTATGAGAGGTGCCTCAAACTCTGAGAGAAAAGAGAAAACGATTTTCTTTTTCTCTCTGTCTTATTCTCGCCGCTCTCTCGCCGATCCTAGACATTATGATTACCCCTGCGGGGCTACCCAAGTGGAGGATGATAAAATGGATAAAGCCGCACCTAAAATTAGCCCAGTCTCCGTCTTAATCAAGACCATAATCAAACCTTCGACTGTATTTCCTAGAATGCTTCATTTTCAAATACCATAGCCTTTTTGATTAAATGCCATCCTCTAACAGATTTCAAGAGTAATCATTTATTCATTCCAGTATTTTTCTGCCAGAAGTGTATCCGTGTGTGAGTGGAGAGGAGGTTAACGTAAGACTTTTGGAGTAAAATGTCCTGAGTTCCTTTTCGAACTGCTCTGGAACTTCTTAGCACATTTAGAATCAAATTTCTTGTACAAGAAAATGCTAAAGGCTAAAGTGAGAGGTGTAAGCAATGGCAAAACAATTGTACTGTCAGCAAAGATGTTCATAAGTCACTTCAGGTGAGTCTTACGTCTTTGGGATGTGGGTGTGAGGTGGGTCTATGGAGTGCAAGGTCAAGTCAAGGCTTGAGGCTTTGGGGCGGGAGTCCTTGATTTTGTCAGATGCAAACCTTGATTCTCTAAAGAACGAGTCCCAGTCAAGTGCTCCGTCTCTGAAGTGTGAGTCCGAGTCAAGCCCTCAGTCTCTGAAGTGTGAGTCTGAGTCAAGACTTGAGTATCTAAAGTGCAAGTTCTGGTAAAGACTCAAGGCTCTAAAGCCTGCGTCCAAGTCAGACTTGGGTTTCTAGAGTGTGAGTGCAAGTCAAGTCTCAAGTCTCTGAGGTGAGAGTCCAAGTTGAGTCTCAGTTCTCTGGGATGCAAGTCTGAGTCAAATCTTCAATCTCTGAACTGTGAGTCCGAGTCAAGACATGAGCAACTAAAGTGCAAGTCCTATTCAAGACTTGAGTCTCTGAAAAGCGAGTCCAAGTCATGACTTGAGTTTCTGGGGTCCAAATCCGAATTGAGAATGAATTTGCTGGGGGTGAGTCTGAGTCAAGTTTTCAGTCTCTGAAGTGCGAGTCCAAGTCAAGACTTGGGTTTCTAGGGTCCGAGTCAAGACTTGAGTCTCTGAGGCGCGAGTCTGAGTTGAGTCTCAGTTCTCTGGGGTGCGAGTCGGGTCAAGTCTCATATCGCTGAGATGTGAGTGTGTAAAGTCTACGAGCATTGCAGTGACATTGACATGGTGGTGGTAGTGCTGCTGGAGTTTTTCAACACTGTGTCCACTCACTGTCCACTCTATTAGACACACTTACCTTGTTGGTCCACCTTGTAGATGCGAAGTCAGAGACAGTAGCTCATCTGTTGCTGCACAGTTTGTGTTGGTCTTTCTCCAGTCCTTCATCTGTGGCCACAGGACACTACTGGCTGGATATTTTTGGGTTGGTGGACTATTCTCAGTCCAGCAGAGACACTGAAGTGTGTAAAAACTCCAGCTGTAATGTCTTATCAACTTGACCAACACAACATACTCTAACACACCACCACCACATCAGTGTCACTGCAGTGCTGAGAATGACCCACCACCCAAATAATGCCTGCTCTGTGGTGGTCCTGTGGGGGTCCTGACCACTGAAGAACAGGGTAAAAGGGGGCTAACAAAGTATGCAGAGAAACAGATGGACTACAGTCTGTAACTGTAGAACTACAAAGTGCTCCTATATGGTCAGTGGAGCTGATAAAATGGACAGTGAGTGTAGATACATGGAAGTATACTTAATGAAGTGTCCGGTCAGTGTATTCCATTAATGTCTTGCATGTTTTCCATTAATAGTGAAGCATGTAGACATGATTTTTTGCCTCGCCAGCCGTGTAATGGGAGTTCAGGAGAGTGATGTTAGGTAAAAAACTCACAGCTGTCGTGCAGCTTGAAAGACGACCTGAACACATGCTGAAGAAAACGTGGGTTTGGCTTTGCATAACATCACCAGCGAAGCACCTGACGCTAATTCGCATTTCATTTTCATCCCTGTAGCCAGCAAACGTTTTATTATGGTCATGATCTGTATATTTTGCTGCTGGCTGCCGCAGACATAATTACAATTACTTTGCACACTAAACGTTATTCAGGGGTTCGCTATGAGTGGTACGCAATCTGCAGGCTATTCATTTTGACACTTCATTCAAAACCACAGTTTTTTTCCCCACTCTTCGCATTGCATCACATAGCTTGTTCAATTACGCAGTGCTAATTCTTCTAATTTTATGCTTCAGATATTTTAATGCCACCAGACATCCGTGTCAAATTCTTAATACATTAGCTCCTCTGAAGCAATTTTGAACAGGTGTTTCTGGTATCAACGTTTTTCTTCTCCTGTGCTTGGTTTTCCTCACATGCGTAAGAGCGAGAAAAGACGGTAAAAGACTGAAAAAGAGCCAGAAAGATATAGAAAGATTTCAACAGCAAAGAAAGGTGTTTTGAAGAGTCCAGGGAGACCGAGAGGTGGAGATAAACAGAGAGAAAAGAAAGAGAGAGCACTCCATGGCACTCCACGTGTCCCCGGAGAGAGAGAGAGAGCAGCGAGAGATGGGAAGAGAAGCTCAGAGCTGCTTTCCCTTGAGATCCAGGCCCCGTCAGAGAGGTGTCTGCCTATTAAGACTCTTGAGAAGAACCTGATTCTCTTCAGCACCACTTGGGCAAGTGCCTTTTTTTTTATCCGTATGTTTGTGTCTGGGTGTTCGAGAGAGAATGTGAGTGTTTATACCAAGGTGTTAGCCTGCATCTTAATATCACTCCTTGGCCTTATGTACAAAATATTAATTGTCTCAAGCAGGTGTGACTTTTGTTTTGGTGCATGACGTGTAAATATACACCAACCAGCCACATCATTAAGTTACATCCTTGTTTCTACACTCATTGTCCATTTTATCAGCTCCACTTACTATATAGGTGCACTTTGTAGTTCTACAATTACAGACTGTAGTCCATCTGTTTCTCTGCATACTTTGTTACCCTGTTCTTCAGTGGTCAGGACCCCCATAGGACCCTCACAGAGCAGGCACTATTTGGGTGGTGGATCATTCTTAGCACTGCAGTAACCCTGACGTGGTGGTGGTGTGTTAGTGCGTGTTGTGCTGGTCTGAGTGGATCAGACACAGCAGTGCTGCCAGAGTTTTTAAACATCTCAGTGTCACTGCTGGACTGAGAATAGTCCACCAACCACAAATATCCAGCCAGTAATGTCCTGTCGGCAGCGTCCAGTGACCACTGCTGAAGAACTAGAGGATGACCAACACAAACTGTGCAGCGCGTATGAGCTACTGTCTCTGACTTTACATCTACAAGGTGGACCAACAATGTGGGAATGTCTAATAGAGTGGACAGTGTATGGACACAGGGTCAAAACTCATGGGAGCGCAGTGCACCACCTGCTCTGTGGTGGTCCTGTGGGGGGCCTGACCATTGACGAACGGGCTAACAAAGTATGCAGAGAAACAGATGGACTACAGTCTGTAACTGTAGAACTACAAAGTGCATCTATTTAGTAAGTGGAGCTGATAAAAATGGACAATGAGCGTAGAAACAAGGTGTTTATAATGAAAGTGTCCGGCCCATAAGGCCCATTATTTTTTGTAATTATACTTTCATTGTGAAATCGATGCCTGAAACATATCCAAAAAAATTGGGACAGGGACAGTTTAAGATTAGAGACATTGTGAAATGTTTAAATACAGCTCAAACAGGTGATGCAATCATGCTTGGATATAAAAAAAAAGAAGCTTCTGGGAAAGGCCCATGAGCAAGGATGGGTTGAGTCTCACTACTTTCCCAAAAATGTATCAGCAAAAAGCAAACAGGTTAAAAATGACATTCCTCAACATGGATTTTAGGTATTTCATCCTCTACGGGGATAATGTCACCAAAAGATTCAGGGAATCCGAAGAAATCTCTGTGCGTAAAGAAAAAGGCCGAAAACCCACAACTGAATGCCTGTGACCTTTGACCCCTCTGACAGCACTGCATTAAAAACTAGCATGTTTTGTATGATGGATATAACCAGGAATACTTTGAAAACTGTTGTCAATAAAGGGGATGGTTTTCGTAAACATTTACACCTTGATATGATAAGCAACCTGAAAAGCAGTAGTGTTTTGGATATGACTTGTATTGGCATAGTTGATGTGCTCAGTGAGCTGAATCACTATGTAGTCATTACTTGTTTACTTGTTTCATTTTAATTTTAATTTTTTTAAAAGCCTGTTCTCTACTTCTTTGGCTAATCTCGGTTTAACGTGCTGTGGTGAATTGGCACGTCTGACGAGTGGCAAGTCGTTGGCAAACCGACTTGACTGTAAAATGATTTTGAAAAAAAGCATCCCTGCTTGCTTCCGTGTTTTTGGCCTGTAGTGCGCTTGGCATGCTGGCTAATCATTTATTGGCAAAGCAGTTAGACATTGCGAAATGGAAACTGCTACACTGCAATCAATTGTGTGAGTTAGCAACAGTAAGCAAGGCGGATGGGATATGACAATCAGTCAGCCTTTAGCTGCGAGTGTGTAAACCACTTGTGGGGAGGGAAAATCACAGCAAGAGGCAGAGATCCAGTGTTATCATGATTTTTACAAATCACTTGACGTTTCTTGGACTCGTACATCTTTGTCCCCTTAATGAGCATCTCATTAGAATTGCACTTAATTAGTTATCCAACGGATGACAAATGATTAATAGCGGGGCTAATTAGCACAAATTGATTCGAATCTCTTCTTTATTGATGGTAAGTTATAGTGAATCGCTAATTCTTGATGATGTTTGACAGCAACACTCCTTCCAGAGGACCTGGAGATGATCATGAAAAGCTGGACACTGGGGACCCAAGTCGTGATACGCTTCGTTCCAGTCATTTTAGCTCAGCTGATAAGCTGCACAGGTTGAAACAGTGTATGATCACTACACTGTGTAAATACAATTACTCCTTTTTTGTTTTGTTTCACAGATTTGCGATAAAGAGTGGCATTACTACGTGATCAATGTGGAGTTTCCTGCCGTGACGCTCTTTGTTGATGGAGTGACCTATGAACCCTACCTCGTGACGGACGACTGGCCCATTCACCCCTCTCAGATTGACGTGCAGCTGACAGTTGGCGCTTGTTGGCAAGGTGAGGGGAAAGTTAAAAAATACAGAAAATACAGTCGTATGCAGAACATTTGGCGCCCCTGGCCAAATGACAGGTTTTGTTGATTTTATAAGTGGGGTGGGGGGAAAGGCTCGTCCTCTACAGCGGTGGTCACCAAGGCTCCTCCTGGGGATCTGCCTTCCTGCAGGTTTCACCTCCAACCCAAATCTACCCCACATCATTCAGCTAATCAAGGACTTCTGAAGGCGATAATTAAATGGATTAGGTGGGCTTAATTAGGGCTGGAGCTGAATTCTATAGGAAGCTAAATCTCCAGGTAGCAGGGTTGGCGATCATCGCTCTACAGCACATTTCGGCACATTTTAATGCACAGTTAATGGTTATTTGCTAAATGTAACACATTGGAAGACATAAAATGAGACCTGTGCAAAAGTTATAGCACATTGTTTGCTTTGCTTTTTCCCCCCAATATGCTTATCTCAGTAAATCAATAGAAATTGTGCCCTAAACTTTGCATAAAAATACAACATTTAAGTTTGTTTCCTGTAGCTGATGTGTTTACTTCAAGAAAACATGACTGGGCATGTTCAAACATTTGCATACAACTGTATTTCTCTTAAAAAATAAGGCCATTTACCTGCACACTAATAATAATAATACAATCATTGTTCAGTTCTGCATTTACCTAATTATTGCAATGGACTTATAAACAGCATACTACACTATCATATTGTGTATTAGATTAAAACTGACAAATTTCAAGAAATCCAATAAAGACAATGCATTTTGGCCTTATACTTGCATTAATCAGTGCCTTTATCCTGTTAACCCCCTAGAATCACAGGCTCATTACATACTAATGCTTATTATTCAGTAACTTCAGGGACTTCAATGCAAACTGGCTGAGATACTCTTAGGTTAGAGAAGGCCGCCGGTGGTCTATGGCCATGTAAGGGATTCATTGAATGTCTTTTGTTTTCCTACATCTGCACCAAGAATTTGAAAAATAGACAATTTAATACATGATCTTATCATTTCTGTAGACCTAGAGCCAGAAGTGGTCACGGCATGATTCATGCGATCCTGAGTCCAGTCACGAGTCACTGGGGTCCGAATATAAGTCAAGTGCTTAGCAGAGAATTTTGGTCTTGTTATTAATTGCAGGCTTTGAGTTCTATTAAAGGAAACTCTACTACACACCTCAGGTTCAACACGGCTTTAAATAGAACCTATAGAAAAACCTTCAGTCTGACAGACAGAACTGAAGCACTACATGCAGTATATGTGGTGTTTAAGGAAAAGAGGCAACACAACTGCTGTTTATAAGTTCACAGCTGGTTAGTCTGTAGTCTGTAGGGAGGTTCTGCAGAAGTACACAAGTTCCTTACTCAAGTAAAAGTGTAGGTATTCTGGTAAAAAATAAATAAAGTGTGATTAGCACATACACAAAAGTACTTTTACTTAAAATACTTGTATTTAAAGCCAAAAAAAAAAAAGTAAAATTATGCATGCATCATCTGCAAAATCATACAAATAACAATTTTAATATTTGTTTTTTATTCAGAAGAGCATGACCACCCAGGTCTAATAGTTATTGTGACCAAAGCCCTGGAATTCTTTTTTCTGATGCGCTGATTCACCACAACTGATTTCTGTTGATTCTATGACTCATCTGTCTCATCTGCTGCTTCTCTATTCATCCATTCTGTGCTCTTGGTATCTGTGGAAGCAGCTCATCACAGATGACCTGTAGAAATATGCAACGGTGGGGCACCAATCCAACAGGACAAAATAGTCTCAGAATAAGGTATATTTGAAAGTTAACCCTTCAGAAACCATTATTAACAACAAAAAAAGAAATAATTTTTCGTGATATCAGAAGGAAATTTGATTAACTCATTCTTTCTTATGTTCTTTCTTAGTTGTAAGAACTTTTGACACATGCATATGTGAGTAAAACATTTACAATGTTTTATAATAAAGCAAATGATAAAAAGGAGGAATTGAATATGTGTGTATAGAAAAAGATGACTGAGTACAAAGTAAAATGTCAACTCTACAAGGTATAATGAGAAATCTAAGAGACTTAGGTAAAGTCAACTAAGCAGTACTATGAAGTCGCTTAAGTCAAAACCAAATGTAGGAGTATTTAACACCTAATGTAAAATGGCAATAATGATAAACTTATTTATCTGGACTTCACACCAAATTGGATTCTAGGGGGCTTAACAGTGTCTCATGACTTTCGTTCCTTAATGCCGACTTGCTCTCCTTCCACATGGGGTCCTCCTCCAGTCCTTCCCCATGACCCGTCAGGCTTTGCTTGCAATACTGGATGTAAAAAAATTATTGTCCATATATACCAATCAGGCATTACATTATGAGCACCTCCTTGTTTCTACGCTCATTGTCCATTTTATCAGCTCCACTTACTATATAGGAGCACTTTGTAGTTCTACAGTTACAGACTGTAGTCCATCTGTTTCTCTGCATACTTTGTTAGCCCCCTTTTACCCTTTTACCAGCCTACTATTTGGGTGGTGGATCATTCTCAGCACTGCAGTAACACTGACGTGGTGGTGGTGTGTTAGTGTGTGTTGTGCTGGTCTGAGTGGATAAGACACAGCAGTGCTGCTGGAGTGTTTAAACATCTCAGTGTCACTGCTGGACTGGGAATAGTCCACCAACCAAAAATATCCAGCCAACAGCATCCTGTGGGCAGCGTCCTGTGACCACTGATGAAGGACTAGAGGATGACCAACACAAACCGTGCAGCAGCAGATGAGCTATTGTCTCTGACTTTACATCTACAAGGTGGACTGACAAGGTAAGTGTGTCTAATAGAGTGGACAGTGTATGGACACAGTGTTTAAAAACTCCACTCGTACCAGCACAACACACACCTACACACCACCATCACATCATCAGTGCTACTGCAGTGCTGAGAATGATCCACCACCCAAATAGTACCTGCTCTGTGAGGGTGCATGGGGGTCCTGACCACTGAAGAACAGGGTAAAAGGGGGCAACAACAAAGCATGCAGAGAAACAGATGGACTACAGTCTGTAACTGTAGAACTACAAAGTGCACCTATATAGTAAGTGGAGCTGATAAAATGGACAATGAGCGTAGAAACAAGGGTGGTCATAATGTTATGCCTGATTGGTCTATGCAACTGGTGTGTTCCAATGTCACCAGCATGTTTCACCACATACACATTTGAGGGAAAAGAATGAATTACACATCCCTATGACCATACCATGACCATCACAATCACATGATATTTCATATGATGTTATAAACATCTTGTGAAATTTTCACTTCAGTGTTGCTAATAAAAATTTGTCTTTTTCTGAAAATGAGAGGTTCATAGTTTTTTCCATTAAAAGCTGTGCATCCATTGGGTTGCTGACACCCAGCAAGTCACCAGAAAAATCACACACTTTGTCCTTAAGTGGTATCTTTTCCATTTTATGGCTTTTGGTCTGTCACTCCTCTTGAAGGCTTGGATAAAACAGAGGAAGTCTGGAAGTCCTCCGTGACCTCCTTATCTCTTAGGGCCATAAACCTTTTAGAGTTTGGATAAGTCTGGTCACCATCAGGCACCAGAGATAGCATGTTGTAGGCAGGCCTTTCAAATATGATGGAGAGATGGCATATCGTGGCCAGTCTTTTCAAATATGATGTAGGGCTGCAACAAACAACTATTTTTTGATAGTCGAATAATCGAACGATTATTGAAACGAATAATTGATTATTCGGATAATGATAATCTGCAGCCAAAAACATGAGGTGTGTTCAAATTTGGCAAACAGTGTCGAAAGTTTGTGGCAAACTTGTTCTCTATAAACAGTTAAATTTGAGTGATTTTGTGTAAAGATTCCATTTCAACCGGAACCCTTCGTCCAGAGAACTACCTCCTGAAACTGTTTGCCAAACGTTCGCAGAGAACTCAAGGCAAACAGAAAACTGTTTGCAGACGTTTTCCTATATTTGCTGAATCTGAATGCACCGGTGGCCTCAACCTTAAGACAACAACGCAGTGTTTTAAACTGTAAACAGTATTTGGAAAGTAAACAGTGTTGTGAATAAACTAGCTTGCACAACTGTCTGATCCAGATGAACCTTCATTCAGTGAGCCAACATGTTTCCTCTGCAGATGCTTCAGCATGGTGGATGTGTTCCCATGCCAGCTAAGGTCGGCTTTACAAATGAGTTAAGCGTGAAATGTTCCCACACTTTTTGCTCTTGAGGGTGTCATTGGGCTTTTGTTAGCTCTACAGTGAGCAGTAATGTCAAAACATCCCTAGGGATGACGTCACCAACTAATCGACTATTAAATTAGTAGCCAACTAACTTGGTCATTGATTTTAGTCAACTATGTCAAGTAATCGTTGCACCCCTAATATGAGAGAAGAGACAGGGGCTTCAAGGCTGGAAATATGATCAGAAAGTGATAAGTGATCCCTACATCTGCTACCCTTTTTTCACAAGTATTTTCTTTTAGCTTATATCTTGGGCCATCACAAGTTGAAAATGAACCGATTGCTTTGGGGGACCGAAACCCCCCTTTTGAGGAACTAGTGTGGAAATAATTTTGTGAATTCAAAGGCACTACAGTGGCATAAATAGTCACAGAGGCATGGAATTTGGTAGGAAGTATACTGGAACAGAGTGGAAAGTGGGCAAATAAGATCTAGTGTTTGCTGCCTTTCATTTTCAAAATATATACAACATACCCAAAAAGACAAAAAACTCACCATCTGCTGGACAAATTCTCAATAAAATGAATATTTATTAGCACTTGCTTTGGCCAAAAGTCTTTTATTATACCTCAAACTAGAAAATGCAGACATTAGCTTTTAAAATGCACTAAGAAATATGCCACATGTAAAATTCTCACTTTAGTCGTTTAATGCCTTAGATTTGAGCATTGCTGTTGTAGCCACATTGTTTGCATCACTGTATGCAAACGTTTTGCCGCCAGAGGACAAACTAAACGTTTTCTGATTTTCTAAGT